GGCACTCCGAAAAAATCGGAGGCTCGAGGAAACCAGACTAAAATGGCTGGTGACGCCAGCCAAACTAAAACAAAAACGCCGGCAAAGCTTGGCGTGCAGGGAGGTTCGAGGCTCGTGAATTTAGCCTCGGCTTACTGGTGGTTGAAAAAAAAAGGCAAAAGGGAAAATAGCTGGACTTGCAGTGGGTCGAGTTCCGTACTACGGAATGGAGGGAAAACAGCCAGTACGTATATGACTTTTTACAAGTCTTGTTGTCTGTCCAGTTGATGTAGCTCAGTGGTTAGAGCACCGGTTGGAAATGCGTTTTGTGGTATGAGGTTGCGGGTTCAGAACTCAATTGCAGCCTTGTGCATGGACACTGGCATGGACACCGGCGGGGCGTTAGAATGACGTATGCCTGGACACACACTCCCCTAGCAATGGTACTGCTACAGACACTGCCTGCGCACCACCCAGGGGTCCTGTCCAGATACGCATGGCTGGAGACACACTCCCCTAGCAACGGTACTGTTACAGACACTGCCTGCGCACCACCCAGGGGTCCTGTCCAGATAAGGCCTGTCTCTACCACATATTACACACACATACATGAGACTACCTCAGATACTGATTACAGGCATAACCATAATACTCAGTCTATCACATACCATACACACATAGACACATCGGAGGGATAAGGCTGGGGGCTAGTGGAAGGACGGATGGTTGCCGACCACCTACTGAGTTTGTAGTCTGTCCCTTCCGAACCCTATAGGAAGTACATAGCCGATGACCGGAATCTGCTGATAGGTGGGAGATGGTCTATTACTGAGGATAGATCAAGTAGGCATGGGTCCTTTGCGGGGGGAGGAACCCCAGCTGATGACCGGGGTCTGGAGGACGGCTGTCTATTCATTGGCAACAGATTAAGGGCGCATAGAGCCACCCCTCCGCTGCGTCGAGGCAAGGTGCTTCTAGGGGGCCGTATATATACATACTACCTACACAGTTCACACAGGTACTCCTTACGCGTCTACGATTCCTGCACGTGTATCTGAGTCTCCTGATTTTTTAGATTTTTGAGGTTCCAACTGGGAAAATCTTCAAAATTTTGATGCTGGTTGCAGTGGACTGTGTTTGCTGTGATGGTTGGAGATAATGCGCTCTGCGGCGAAGGGGCTAGCCAGTAGGGCGGAAATAGGGTACAGCAGCGGTGGAGATGGTGGCTCTACCGCCATAAGTCTTGCCGGAGTAAGGTTGAGAAGGATTTTTTGCTGGATGACTGCAGCCAGTGTTTGAAAGACTGGACGATCGGTGGCTTGTCTGGTATCTGCTGATGTCCTTGGTCCCAGTGGTTTCCAAATGGACGAGGTCAGAACGACGTTGGTTGGTGCTGGGGCTTGGTCGTGCTGCCCTGTAACCCGAGCAGGACGGGGGCATGAGACCTGGTAGAGAGATCTGGGGAGTTGCCGAGGGTGTAAGGCACTCTAGTATCTATTGGTGAGCTGGTATGTAGTCGACACTGGCCGGAGCCGGGGCGGGTCGCTTTGCCCTGTAACCTAGCAGGTGGCAGGTTTCTGGGGTGGGTCATGCCACTCTGTAACCTAGCAGTTGGGGGTGGGAGGCCTGGAAGAGACTGGGTATCGGGGTATAGGGGAGGGGCGGATAGGGTTGAGCCACTGACAGGCGCTAAGGCAGGTGGTTTTCGGTCTGAATATTCTCATGATCATCCTTAGAGAACCTAACTTTTTCTGTAGATTGCATAGTATCATCCTTTCAGCCAAAGCCGGGTAATGGCCCCGGTATCTCAAAGACTCTAAGTATTCTGCATATTTTTTCTCAAAAATGTTCTCAAATGGGACGCTGGGCCCGGTTCCCAGCACGTGTTGCTCCCCACAAATAGATTGGAGCATGTCCCAACGGAAAAAAAAAAAAAAAAAAAGTTCACACAGGTACTTGTGGAGGTGGTATGAACACCTCTCACTGGTACTCACTTTGCAGATGCTCCATGGTGGGGAGCAGCATCTGCTATGGGTCCACACACATTACAACCATACACATAGCCTACGGCCGCATACCTACAATACAGAACAGACACACATACATAAAAAACCATAGGGCTGGGAGGAGGTCATGATCAACTGATGATGATGATAAGCGTCTCGATGATAAGTACTCCCCTTAAAATCAGCTAAGACTGTGGTGGGCGAGTAGAGGGCATGAGTCGCTCGTTGGTTGGGATCAACTAATGATGATGATAGGCGTCTCGATGATAAGTACCCCCCTTAAAATCAGCTAGACTGTGTGTGGCAGACTAGGGCTGTGGTGGGCGAGTAGCGGGCGTCATTCAGTGCTTGGTCCAGATTAACGGATGATGATGATAGGTGTTTCGAGGATAAGTACCCCGCCTTAAAATCAGCTAGGACTGTGGTGGGCGACCAGAGGGCGTGAGTTACCAGTTGGTCAACTTAGGGGCTAGTAGGAGATTGCTTGAGCTTGGCGTTTGAAGTTCCCGTGCGACGAGGCTCGTTCGATTCCGCTTCCACCTGGGCTGGGTCATGGCTAGCCCTGGTGCCTGTCACTACTGTTCGGTCCAAGTTCCCCTCGATACTGAAGTAGGGGTAATGGTCCTGAGTGCTGGTCACACTGAGGTAGGATAGTTACTGTAGAGATAGGGGTAAGGATGCAACCGGAGGTAGCCTTGTTCCCTCAGGATAACCATGGCTGACCGCTTCAGGTGATCAATGTGTGCTTAGTAACCCGCCTCTACAACACCCTGGGCTTAAGGGGGGGGGGGGGGAAAACGTTCTATTCCAATTAACTTCGAAAATCAGACTTAAAAAAAAAAAAAAGTCTCTTTCTCTTCTTTTTGTCCCTCACTGACAAATGAAGGGATGCTTTTTCTAGAAGCCCTTTCGATCCCCCGGATTGAGGCCTTAAAACCAAGCTGAGAGTCCGATTGAGCCTCTCCTAAAATTTAGCAGGCTCACAATCAAGTAATCAACGGCCTCCGAAAGGGGTCCGCGGCCGATGGCTTGCATGTACTTGTGGTTTAAGCAGGGGGGGAGGTGAAGGCACTGCCACTGTTCATCTTGGTAATGAGAGGGTTTCCCCGCTTCCAGCAGGTGTGGTCCCCCACCAATGGAAAGAAGCCTTTTTTTTTTTTTTTTTCTGTTCCTTTTTTTTTTCTTTTTCTTTTTTATTTCTGGAAACCGGGTCCAGCGTCCCATAGGTACAAGCAGAGTTGCCAGGCCGAACGTACGGAGGCCCCTAAGCTGACCCCCGAACGTTCCCCGTACGGTGCCTGAACTCGAAGGGGTTCGGACCCCGCAAAAAATTATTTTGGTACATAAAAATTATTATTTTTTTCTGATTTTTTTTTTTGTGAGTTCTCTGTTATGTAAGCTACCTGTCTCTCAATTTTGAAGTCATTCTGTCAAGCCAAACAATAATGAAAAATCGGCAAAGATGGTGGTGTCAAAACTTGCTTTCCCACTTACTGATTTGTTTTCTTTCTCTTTTCACTTTTTGTTTTCCCTTTATTTCGGGGCCTGAAAAAAATTATTATTTTTTCAAACTTTATTTGTCGGTTTTCTATTATGTAAGATACATACGTATAAAATTTCATGGCATTTGACAAAGCCAAAACAAAATGAAAAATCGCCAAAGATGGCGGTGTCAAAAACTTGCTCGCCCACGCAATAATTTCATTCTTGTTTTATTTTTTCTTATTTTCATTAATATTATTCATTTTTCGTATTTGATTTTTATTTCAAATCTGGTAAGGAATTTGGATGTACTGTTGAGGCAAATGTTGTTTATTTTATTCTTCTGCATGACTTTTTTTTTTGCATAATTTTTGGAAACTTTTTCTTCTTTTTTTTCTTTTTTTTTTTTCTTGTTTTTTTTGGTTCCGCGTTCGGCCGAACGTCCGAACGCGTCGAGAGGGGGTCCCAAACGTTCGGGCATTCGGGTACGGGCGTTCGGCCCGTCCCGAACGCCGGCAACCCTGGGTACAAGCATTACTTCACAAATTGGCACGAACTGGGAACCGGGCCCAGCGTCCCATAACGAATACATTCAGAAGATTCCTCACTAAAAAACTACTGGAAAAATCCAATTAGCCTAAGAATAGTATTTGAAAATTAAGATATCAGGGCCATTACCCGGCTTCGACTCAGAGATATTGGAACAGCTTCAGACATGTCTACAACGATCATCATGATTTAGAACAAATTTCAGGAAGGACACAGGAGAACCCCCCATCACTCCACTTTACCTCACTCCGGCAAGACTGACTGCAGCGGAGCCACCATCTCTGCTGCTGCTATACCATACTCCCATCCTACCAGCTGGCCCCCTCACTGGCAGGACGCGTGATAACCCACCCTCTGCTCCTACTCGCCTTATTCGCTATTTTTGAGGTTCCTAGAAAAAAACTCAGACCCCCCAAACAATCCCCTGCTCCCCACTCCAGCAAGACTTACCGCAGCAGAGCCACCATCTCTGCTGCTGCTGTGCTTTATTTCCATCCTACCAGCTAGCCCACTCACTAGTAGGACGCGTGATACCCCAAGAAGCCATTGACTTGGCAATGATAGGGTTTCCAGCAGGTGTAGCTTTACGCCACCAGTACTCCCGGGCTGCTTTCGTCCGGGCCTTCAGACACCCTGCGAGTCAAGCTTTGTCGAACCGCCAGCACAGCATTTTTTTTTGCTTTTGGCTGGCACTGCCAGCCATGATTGTTGTCCGGTAACACCGAACCCCGATTAATGCGGCGCGTTAACGTCAAGGGCCCACGGCCAATGTATGGGCCAAGTACTGCTGGTTTAACCAAACCAATATTGGGGATTCCTTTACCGTGATGATCGGATTCCCTAGAACCGTGACTTTGCCCAAAGATGTTTCTGAGGCAAAAAAAGGAAGACAAAAGAAAGAAAGAGAGAGACGCCGATGTTAACATAACCACGAGACTAAGAACCTGTTTCCTGCCTGTCCGATTATCTCTGGCTTTCTTGCAGCTTTGACTGGGTGAAGCAACCGGCCTATGATATTCTACTTCAAAATCAAGTGGGTCCATTGGGGCTCACACCAGACGAAGAGGAAACCGCCAAGGCGCTTGCTCGCAGTGTCTGCATCCCTCCTTTGAGGGCAAGGTAAGAGAATGAACTACCTCCAGATTGGACTTGAGCCATACTCACTGGTGGAGAAAATTGCTATTAACCCCCGTGCATAAAGTTAATCACCCCTTTCCGTCCATGATGAGCCCTGCATGGCTTATCAATGCTTAGTTTCTTAATTTTATTTGAATTTTATTTCTGTAATGAATGCATTATCAATCATGCCAGCAGGCACTTAGTTTTCTTCAATTTCTTGTACTTGGCCTATACTTACGTCCGTGTAGCATTGTGTTCGGGTTCGGTGACCGAACTCGAACGTTCGCGACCGAACCCGAACAAGCGCCAAAACCCCCCAAACGCGAACATACAAAAAAAAAAAAAAAACAAGTTCTCAGAAAAATCTGAAAACAATATATTTTATGTAAAATAATAAAGCAAACAACTTTTGCCTTGGGGGTATGCTCAAATGCATAACCAAACTCGAGTTAAAAATCAAAAACAAAAAACAAAAAGTTTTTTTTTTTTTTTTAATATGTTCGGCTGAACATGTTCGGGGGGCGTTCGCCCGCTCCGAACATGTTTGGTGTGCTACACAGATGTACGGCTTGTACTTGGCCTATACGTACATCTTGTACTTGGCTTATACTTACTACTTGGTCTATTCCGCGTGACAACACTTAGCAGCTCCCTATGTTAAACCGCTAGTACACGGCCCCAGCCTTGCAGAAAGCTTTTTGTCGCCTGAAGCAAAACTCGGAGGCGCCGTGAGGCCAGGCCCACCGTTGGAAAAACAATCGGCGGCCTCCGGAAGTGGTGCGGTTTCATGCTGACACCCGCTGGCCGAAGTATGTTTCCCTCTCATTTTGCAGAAACGCACTGTGCACCCTGGCATGTCCGACAGGATGCACCGGGGTGGCATTTCGCCCAAAATCCATCCAGGCAATGCGAGGCCCAATATGCCTGGATGAATTTTGGACAAAACAGCACCCCGGTCCATCCCGCCCGCCGCGCCAGCATGCACGGCGCATATCTGCAAAATAGCTCGGAAACGTACTTGTGGCTTAACCACCACTAGTCGTTGACAAATTTGCCAACCTCTGAACGGAGAAAAAACAAAAGGCTCTGGCCATCTGATTGTCAATCAAACGGGCCAACTGAAGAGCGGCCGAGCGTCCTGGCGACCGCGAGGCTGTTGTTCTGTGCTGCCTAGCCAGATGAACTCACACCGCGGTGTCCAAAGTACTTCCATTGAATGAACAAGGAGAAGTAAGGGAAGGGGAAAGGAGAAGGAAGGGCAAGAAAATGAGGCCACTTGTGATTGATATGAATGGAGGAAAGGGAGTGTGAAGGTAACTTTCCTTCTTCCACTTTGAAATCCAACGGGTGGCCCTCCAGAATGTCTGTGAGAATTGGAGTGATGCACAGAAGATTAGCATGGCCCCTGGGTAAGTACGAGATCCAGATGGGGAAAAGTTATAAAACACCACTTTGCATGCAGCTAAAGCTCTCACCAGTTTACGCAGGCCGGTAGAGAACGCGGAAGGCCACTACAAAAAGGCCCAGTTGGAGGCTCGTGAGCCCATGAAGACTACTGTCTTAACCCGGAAAAAACGTACGTGCATTTTATACAAATACAACGTACGGGGTACATTGATGATTGAACAAAGAGTTTTAGGGTATAACTTTGCAGGAGCATGTGGTACAGGACATCGTTTTTATTCGTTTTCTCGAATTTGGTTGGGAATTTTTCGAAGACCATCAGGCAAAAGTTGTACAACATAGTTTTTTTCTCGTTTTTTTTTGGATAATTTTTTTAAATCGAAATTCTCACTGCAAAATGCCCTCAAAGGCTCAAAATATATTTTTATTCTTGTTTTGTTTTTCTCCTTGAATTCGGTTGTGGATTTCAAGATGACCCTCAGGCAAAAGTTGTTTGTATTGCAATGTTGTACGACTTTCTTTCTTTTCAGAATTTTCTGATTTTTTTGAAAATTACAACATACGTACGTTGTATTCGAATACACAACATACGTACGTTATATTTGACCGTACGGTCTATTCGAAAAAAAAAATCAGCAATTTCGGAGAACCCATGTTTTCGAGGTAAGTTGAATAGAACGAACGTACGTCTTTTCCGGGTTAAGACAGTAGCTTTGTCAAGTTAGGCTAGTATGAATTGGTGGTTTAAACCGCCAGTAATTCAAAAAAGTACCGCCATGCCCGCGCCAGCTGTTGCTACAGTCCAATGACAGTTTGTTTCAAATGAATTTATCCATGTGCGGCAGACCCATTCATCCCTGCTAGTGCCCATGCATGCACAGCTGCACTTGCAGGAAGTACTGGTGTGTCATGACAATTTGTTCCAAATGAATTTATCTATGCACAGTAGGTCTATTCATTCCAGCTAGTCCCAGTGCATGCATACCCGCACTTTCAAGAAGTATTGGTGTGCCACGAATGTTCATCTCGCATCAACTTATCCATGCACCGCAGGCTTGTTCATCCCAGCAAGTCCTACTTTACGTTCAGGAAGTACTTAGTCTGGTGGTTTAAGGCAAAAACTGAAGAGGGGGTGGGGTGGGGGGGGGGGGGGCAGGGGAATCCATAATTTCAAGGTGGACTGCTTGGTAACTGCGCACAAATCATTGCAGTTCAGCTGTTCGCGTTTGAAAGACATAAACTTTTAGCGCAAATTGGCTGAGTCACCCATCTTCCCTGGGACCCAAGGCAATCAAATGGTGGATGTGTACAAGCTACAAATCAGATTGCGTACCATTACATGTAGGGATAATTGTTTTCGGGGAACACGCTAGGAGTTCATGGCTGGTATATACGATGGTTCAACAAGGGCTTAGTGTTTCTAGGCCGTAAATGCAATAAATATTCCAAAATGTTGGCTACACAGATGCAATCAAAAGAAACTCAACTTCACAGAAGACTTCAAGAACTACAACAATTAGAGACAGGGTCAGAAGAGCAAGAGACTGTAGAAACATTGGCTAATGAGATCTAGGATTTCAAAAAACAGCTTCTAACCCAGATGGAATATAGGTAGTAAGGGGTAAGAATCATAGGCAAACTTAGGTGACATCAGATGGAAGGGGCAATGGATACACGCTTTTTGCAGTGGCCAAGGAAAGGACAGGTAAAACTACCATTGAGGCCTGGAAGATCCTTTGAACAAAGATGAACCTTAGGCTTCCTCTACAACAACTTATACCAAACTTACTCGCAATATTTTTTTTAACTTTTCTCTTTAGAGAACAATAATATCCCAATGGAATAAGGAGTAAAGGAAGTGGATGATTTCGTACTCCCACGGTCCCACTAACTAAAACATTATCAAAGCGAAAAAAAAAATGATGGAAAACCCCTCACTAAGGAGGACATATGGACAATTTTAATGCTTATGGATGAGGGAAAAAACCCACGAATAGATGGACTACCCAAGGAATTTTGGGAAACCCTATGGGATACCATCTCACTAGACCTAATAGATTATTATCAGGCAGTCTGCATCTCAAAGGAAATAGGAGAAACAGTTGGGCAAGATATCTTAACTCTTTTATATAAAAATATGAAAAAAAACTATCGCCACATCACTCTGCTCACTTTCGTTTATAAAATAGTAGTCAACGCATTAACTGATCTTCTGACCAAAGTAATTACAGGCATCATTCATCCAAACCAGACTGATTTTGTTGAAATATACAAGACAGTGTTATTTTACTAAATGAAATTGTCAAACTCACACATATCAGTAAGAAAAGATGACTCGATTGCTCCCTTTTTATTTATAATTATTATGGAAGCTTTAGCAGCAAACCTTCGCCAGCATAAGGACACCAAACGTATCTAGGTTTCTTCTATGCCAAAGGATGCAATTCCGGTCTACTCTCTTTTTGCAGATGACCTCTCCTTTATGGTGGAAGCATCTTACGGGAATCTAGCAAAAATTTAAAAAATAATGAATAGGTTTTGTCGGTTATCCGATATGAAACTCAATAGGAGCAGCAAGATATTCAGATGGTGGATACACCACCAAGGGGTAAGACCACCAGAACAACCTCGAGTTAAATGGCTCTCTAAACAGAGATTTTGTTAAAATGGACATTTTATATTTTTTGAACGAAATTGAAACCCACTTATTTGACCCTGAAAATTTCACCGTTTAGCTCCTTAGGGTCCCCCTTGGATGTACTTGAACTTCAGTTAAAGTCCAAATGGACCCTGAGAAGATAAACGGTGATATTTTTTGGGCCAGATAAGTGGGTTTCAATTTCGTTCAAAAATATAAAATGTCTGTTTTGACGAAATCGTTGTTTCTATGGATACGCCTATTCATGTCCCGGAGATTTCACTCTCAGTTGAAGGACAACCTAAATCAAATAACGATTGGATCATTCAAGAGACTCACGTCAAATTAGATACGTGGAAGAAAATGCATTACTCGCTGATTGGACGAACTATGACTATGAATAATGTTGTTATTGCATCCATATCTAGCTTTCCCGAGGCGCCCGGCCAGGTAGGGACCTCGCCCGGGGTACCCCGGGCATGAAAAAAAAACACTGAATTTTTTTTTTTTTTTGGCCTGCAGAGCCTTGCTGCGCTTTCCAAGTACAGCCCAAATCCGGCCTCATTTCTTTTTTTCAGGCATGTTGGTTTCCGTGTTCGGG